TCTGCCCGTCGAGCCGCACTGGCCCAACGAGCGCCAGAAGCTGAACACCAACAGAAGCAAGCACGCATTCTACAGCGTCGTGCTCGAGCTTGGGCCCCGTTTGCACGTATTCTCACATTGGTCGGTATTCGTATCCCTGATTCCGACACCGTTGTCAAATCACCTCAGGACATGCTGGACGAGCTGCAGAAGCACTGGCTCCCGATTTTTGCCGACAAGCCCGTCGACGAGATTGGTATGAAGGAGTTTGTTGCTCGGCACGCGCCTCCTCCTTTTCAACCACCTGCCTTGGTTCCTCCTTCGGTGGCGGCGCTCCGACGTGCCGCTCAGCGTGCTCGTGCATCGGCACCAGGGCCGGACCGACTTCCGTATCGAGCGTGGACGGCGACGACGGGTGCCTTGGACGCGCTAGATGACATCGCATGGCAGGCGATGGAGACTGGAGTGGCACCTTTCTCTTTCAATGACTCACTGTTCTCGTTCATCCCCAAGGGCACGGAGGAGATGGACAACATTACCTGCACTCGGCTTGCAGCGGCCCTGCGGCCGATCTCCAGGAAGAACACCGATTCCAAGATCTTCGCGGCGGCCATCAACGAGCAGATGAAAACTACCGTGGAGCAACGGGCGCACGTTATACAACAAGGCTTCATCAGAGGCCGCAACTTCTGCAATAACATAATGATCATGGACACGCTGGGGAGGATTGCTGGATGGAGGCCATCTGCTGAGTCAGAACATCCAGTCCAGATCCTGTTCGACATTGCGGCGGCCTTCCCGTCGCTGGGAAGGCAGTGGTTGTTTGCAGCGCTCGCTAACTTTCAGTATGCCGAGGGCTTCATTAATGCCGTACGTGCCCTCTACGATGGTGGCCAGGCCATGATCACGTTGGACGGCGCCTACCGCTTCGTGTGCTACATGCGCTCTGGTGTCGCGCAGGGCTGCCCTCTTTCTGGTACCATATGGGCCATCGCCATGGATGTCATTCTCAGAGCGATTGCCGAGATTCTCCCGACCGAAGAAGAAGGCTCTGCGTCCGCATGCGCTGACGATCTAGGCGTACACCTGAACCATTTGCGTCTCCTGCCCAAGATCCACCAGGTCTTCGACTGCGCAGAAAAGTACGGCCACCTCGCCATCAATGTGACCAAGTGTGTGATCATCCCTCTTTGGGCTGCTCTTGACGATCAGGTACGGTCTGTGATTCGCTTTTTCTTGGCAGAACAGATTCCAGCTTGGAGTAACTTCTTGATTGCTGATGTTGGTGTCTACCTTGGCGCACATATTGGACCTGGAGCGACCAATGAACTGCAATGGTTGAAGGCTGTCCCGAAGTGGTGGGACCGTCTCTTTGCCTTGTCTACTTCTGGTGCCCCGACGGATGCACTGGCACGGCTTTATCAGACCTCGATCATCACGGTCCTGAGCTACCTCGCGCAATTCTTCTGGCTTCCTAAAGTGGCTCTGGCACGAGAAATACATGCCCTGCATCGTGTTCTGCGTATGCCCCCGAGCACGTTCAGGCTTCAGGATATCCTAGCGATGTCGACATGGATGACGTCCCCCTCGCCAACATCCCTCAAACTGTACAATGTAGCCACGATGTGGCGCATGGCCAACTACACGATCGTAGGCTGGACGCACTTTCTTGGCTTGCTCGATGCCATGGCGGTCCAATACTGCCCGTTACCTGCATTTGCGAGGGGGCGATGGTCACCCCCTTTCTGGAAAGAGCCGATGGCTATAGTGCAGCGCTACGCCGCTCTGAACTCGGGCCAGTCCCCGTTGCTACCGGCGCGATCGAGCTCATCCCTGGAAGCTGCTGCAGAGATTGCCCGCAAGACGGCTGAGGACGCACGTGCAGCTGGACATCGTCCGCGACCTCAAAGATGCTTCCTTCAACAAATCACGTCGCGGATGTTCCCTGATAGATTTCATCAGACCATCTTCAAGCGCCTGCAAAAGTGGTATGGCATGTCGATATCCATGCGGAGTTTGCGGACGAGGTGGCTCCACCTGAAATCCTTCCTAGCCAAGGTGTCTCCTTCGTGGCGGTGGATTGCGGTTCGGACTTTGGCAGGCGGGTGGCACACAACCTCGAGAATGCATGTTCACCCTGAGCGAGCTCAATGTGCCTTTGGATGTGATGCCGACGACGCTATTCAACACTATCTTGTATGTCCTCGTCTTCAACATCATGTTTGCCTTCCCCGTGCCTTTTCTCATGATACAGTTCTGGCGAGGATTGGCCTTGGCGATGAAGGAGAGTACGAGCGTGACGACACACACGAAAGATCTATGTGGGCTACGATGAGGAGGCTCGTACTGTCCTACTATATGTACCTGGAGATGAAGAATGGTCCTGAACGAAGGCGTGATGACTACTCTGCACACCTTTCTGCCCGCCGTGCTGCGTTGGATCGTCTGGACATGGGTGGCAACCGCCCTGAGTTCGGTCGCACACCTGCACCAGATGTCCACCAAGATCTGCCTCGAGACGGGCCTCATGCTGCGCCCCGCGGACTGGATGCATCCGTGCCTGCAGCGCCCCATCCTGCCGTCGTTGACGGCCAAGACAACACTGACATCGACACTGCCGTCAGCGACGGCCTCGTCTTCAACTCCTTCGACACTGCCGTCGACGCCGTCGCCGATGGGATCGACAACGACTTCATGTGAGGAGCTCGGCCGCGGGCGGGCGCTGCCGCCGCTGCCGAGGAGACTCCGCCTTCTTGTCGCACCTCTGCTCCTCCTCCCCTTCCTCTCGGAGGGCGGTCCATTGTTTTCCTCGGGTTTGTGGACCCCCGCGGGGGAGGGAGCTCTGCTTTCAAACAGTATCTACGTTCCAGCCAGAAACTGTGTACTAGGTTGATTCGAAGCGGTTCACTGGCGTGGGCACTAGCCTGAGGTAATTTGTACTTACAAAAGTTGCCAGTGGATCACGGTTCTGAGCGCGCGTGTGTGTATGTGTGCGTGTATGCGTGTGCGCGTGTGCGCGTCTGCGCGTGTGCGTGTGTGCGTGTGTGCGTGTGTGCGTGTGTGCGTGTGTGCGTGTGTGCGTGTGTGCGTGTGTGCGTGTGTGCGTGTGCGCGTGTGTGCGTGTGTGCGTGCGTGTGCGTGTGCGCGTGCGCGTGCGCGTGCGCGCGTGTGTGCGTGTTCGTGTGTGTGTGTGTGCGTGTGTGTGTAAGGGTGTAAATGTGTAAGTGTGTAAGTGTGTGTGCAAGTGTGTGTAAGCGTGTCAGTGCGTAAGCGTGTAAGTGTGTCAGTGTGTAAGTGTGTCAGTATATAAGTGTGTGAGTGAGTGTGTGTACGTGTATATGTGTGTGATTGTGTGTGTGCGTGTGTGTGTGTCTGTGTCTGTGTGTGTGTGTCTGTGTCTGTGCCTGTGCCTGTGTCTGTGTCTGCTTCTGTGCCTGTGTCTGTGTCTGTGCCTGTGTCTGTGTCTGTGTCTGCGTCTGCGTCTGCGTCTGCGTCTGTGTCTGTGTCTGTGTCTGTGCCTGTGTCTGTGTCTGTGTGTTTGTGTCTGTGTCTGTGTCTGTGTGTCCGTGAGTCCGTGTGTCTGTGTGTCTGTGTGTCTGTGTGTCTGTGTGTCCGCGTGTCTGTGTGTCTCTGTGTTTGTGTGTCTGTGTGCCTGTGTGTCTGTGTGTCTGTGTGTCTGTGTGTGTGCGTGTGTGCGTGCGTGCGTGCGTGTGTGCGTGCGTGCGTGCGTGTGTGTGTGTGTGTGTTTGTGTTTGTGGTGATTGTGTGCGTGTGTGTGTGTGTGTGTGTTTGTGTGTGGTTGTGTGTGTGTGTTTGCGTTTGCGTGTGTGTGTGCTTGTGTGTGGTGTGTGTGTGGTATGTGGTGTGTATGGTGTGTGTTTGGTGTGTGCTTGTGCTTGTCTGTGTGTGTGTGTCTGTTTGCGTGTGTGTGTGTGTGTTTGTGCGTTTGTGTGCTAGTTCGTTGCGTGTATGTGGTGTTTGTGTGTGTGTTTATGCTTGTGGTTGTTTTTGCGTTTTTGCTTGTGTGTGTTTGTGGTTGTGTTTGTGTTTGTGTGTGTGCCATCTCCTCCGCCGCCGCCGCCATCGCCGCTCAATCACCACCCACCCCTAGCCCTCGCTTGCCTGATGCGTCATGATATCCTCCCCCTTTACCGTCCCTCCCCCGTCATTCTCCCTCTTCCATTCCCCAATCAGAGCTTGCCTCTGTATGGGGTCCTAGCGGATTCATATGGTTAGGTTAAGCTTGCCGCCTATTTTCGCCGCATGCCCGGGCGCCCAGGTGCCCGGGGGTGCCCGGGTGCCCGGGGGGGGGCCCGGGGGGGCCCGGTGCCCAGATGCCCGGGTGCCCAGGTGCCCGGGCGTGCCCAGGGGTGCCCGGGGGTGCCCTATAGCCCAATAGCCCAATAGCCCTATAGCCCTACAACTCTATAGCCGTATAGCTCTATAGCCCTATAGCTCAATAGCCTTATAGCCCTATAGCCCCCTATAGCCCTATAGCCCTGATTGAGGTTTTCCTCTGGTATCATTCCCTATCTCCCCTTTTCCCCTCCCTCCTTCCCCCCCTCCGCAGGAGTAGTATGTGAAGGAGAAGCAGGATGAGAAGGACTGCGAGGTGGAGGAGGCGGGGAAGGAAGAAGGATAAGGACGGGGAGCACAGAGGAGGAGGAGGAGGAGGAGGAGGAGGAGGAGGACAGAGAAAGATAAGTAGGAGGCTGACAAGTTGCAGGAGAAGGAGGTGGAAGCGGAGGGGGAGGTGGAGGGAGGAGGTAGGAGAAGGAGGAGGAGGGCCCCCTTCCATCCTCCTCTTCGTCCACCCCCCCGACGACGACGACGACCAAGGACACGACCACGGTCACGACCACGCCCACGACCACGACCACGACGAACGACGAACGACGAAAGACGACGACGACGAACCACTAAGGACTAACGACGCCGAACGACGACGACGACGACGACGACAACGACAACGACGACGACGAACGACGGCGTCGATGACGACGGCGACGACGGCCCGAGAGGCCGACGCCGCCAGCTGGTCGCCCGCACCGCGGCCGCAGCCCACCCGGTGGAGGAGCTTCAGGCGCCGACGCTTCCCGCCGGGCAGCACTGAGGGGAGATTCCCGCGAAGTCTGGGCCCCCTATGATTTCCAAGGACATCACCATTTCCAAGACGACCGTACCCAACACGACCACTCGAAACTCGTCCAGGCATGCTCAAAAGCATTAGAACATAGGATACCAGCGTAGACTTCCTACGCACGCCCAGCGACCCCCCACACGCCCGTCGTACGCACGCAGGCCTGACTCGGCCTCCAGGAGCCTCACGAAGGAAAGGGAATCCGAGGCTTAGGGGGGGTCGCCACTCTCTGTTGAAGATGGAGGATCGGGAAGGAGGGAGAATCGGCGGTCAAGGGAGAAAAAAACACCCGGACCCGACAATTGACGGTTACTAAACGGCCCGGGGCGTTTACTAAACAGTCCTGCACTGTTTGATTCCTTCTTTGGGTGCGCTTGCTAAACGGCCTCGCTTGTCGGGGTGGTTATTATGGGAGTGGATTTTTTGCCCTCTAGGATGAGGTCTGGCTCGCAACGCTCTCAGAGCGTTCTGGAGCGCTCTGGGAAGGCTAAGTACGATGCCCAATACATTCTCCAGAACCGCCGGATCTCAGACATCCCAGGTCAATTCTTGTCCGATGTTGTCCTTGTCTTGGCCTCGTCTTGTCTTGCAGGGCGTTACGGGTCCAGGAGGTCTCGAACGCGTTGGGGCTTCTTTGGGAGTCCTGGGTGGCTGTGGTGGTCCCGGGGGTCGATGCCTTTTTCCAGCGGCTGCGCCTCGTTGGGAGCGTGGCGGGGGTGCCCGAGTCGCCCTGAACAGTCGCTGCAGGCTGCAGGCCCGAGTTATGGCCCGAAAACCGGTCTCAGTCAGCCATATCCCTCGCCTGTGCAGCCCGTGGAGATTACTCGGCGGGCTCGGATTTTCGTCCGACCAGCCAAAGTGTCGAGTTCGGCTCTCCCCCGTCTGAGTCAGACAGGCGTGCCCTGCGTGGGGACTGGTAGGGCTCGTCGTAGGGCTCGATATTGATTCATCTGGGACTTGTAGGAGTTGAGAGGAAGTTGCAGGAAATACACCTTTCATTAAGTCTTGGTGCTGGTAACTTCGACGAGTCCGATATGCATAAGTCATACAGCGAGTCCGATGCCAGCATTGAACCGTTCGAGGCAGGAGTGAGCATTGTCCAATTGTGTTCCGTCCACCGTCTCGCCCTCCCCAGATCTTTGGCGGATTGCGTTTGATCAATCCGTGGCCCCAGGAGTTCTCGCTCCCGGAGCTGGACTTCCATCCAGCCCCAAGACGACGCCAGGAAGCCGAAATGGAAGAAAAGCGCCAGGGTCCCGTAGACGGCCCAAAGTGGACGAAGATTTGCATCGTTCTGGTGGGTCGTGGGGCCCGAAGACGGCCCTAAGCGACCGAAATGGAAGGAAACAAAGCGTCTATCTCACTGGGTGTTCGGCCGTCTGGACGTCCCTTCGGGCCCACAGGATCTTCGGAGGTCGTGGAGGCCTCCGAATGCTCTTGAGGGTCCGACGACGTCCAAGAGCCTCGAATTCCGATGCTCGATGCACCGCAATCCTGATGAACGTTCTGCACCGTCTTCGAGCGGCTCTCCGGGAAGAGCCAAGTGGGTCGCCACCTCCCCCTGCGGGTCGAGGTTCGGGGATCGAGGATCGAGGAAGTTGTTGGACAATCTTGGGAGCTTGAGGAGGTTCTGGGCATCCTTGAGGGATCAGTATCCTCGAGGAAGTGGCGACGCCCCTAGTGGTGGCTTGGTCCACACATGATGGAGCAACAAAATTGTCACTCGGGCAAATTGCTATCATCCTCCATCCTCTCCGATTCCATCCTCCTCATTATCCTCCAGTTCCTCCTCATCATCATCAGCATAATCGTCATCATCAGCATCATCACTATCAGCATCAGCGTCGTCATCATCATCTTCAGCAGCATCGTCGTCATCGTCACCAGTATCATCATCATAAGCACCACCTTCACCATCATCATAGTCAGAATCAACACCCTCCTCCTCCTCCTCCTCCTCATCATCATCATCATTATTATCGTCATCACCAGTATCAGCAACATCAGCATCATCATTATCATGTTCATCATCATCATCATCACCATCATCATCATCATCACCATCATCATCAGCATCGTCACCATCATTACCATCATCATCATCAGCAGCATCAGCATTTGCATAATCATCGTCATCATCGTCATCATCACCGTCATCATAATCAGTATCATTATCCTTAGTGCTACCCTTATCCCTTTCAGTAGCCTTACTGTTATTCTCATCCTTCTCCTTACGTGTCCTTTCCTTACTATTAGCCCCATCAGTATCATTGCCCTCATCCTTTTCCTTAACCCTCTATGGGTAGTGAGCCTCCTGCTTCTCCTTGTGCTTCTGCTCCTCCTCCCCCCTTTTCCCTCCTCCTCCTCCTTCTCCTCCTCCTCCTCCTCCTCCCCCTTCCCCCTCCTCCTCCTCCTCCTCCTCCTCCTCCTCCTCCTCCTCGTCCTCCTTTCCTCCTCTTCCACCTCCTTCTAGCCTTTTTCGGCTTTGTTTTTTGCAGAGTTTGGAGGTGCGAACTTCGAAAAGGCACACTGCATCTCCGAGCCAGAGTGGCTCGGGTCAGAGTCAATTTCATGAGCCGCGATGGCAGTGCATGGTCGAACACCAAGCGCTGGTCGTCGGACTGGTACAACAAGGGTTGGAGTTCAAGTGGGAGGATCCCTGTGCCGCCGCCCCCGCCTTCATCCAGACGATGGAAGTGCGACAGCTGCGGGTGCAGGAAGAACCTACAGATCTGGAGCTACTGCAAGCATTGTGGGGCTGACCGCAGTGGTGATGCTGGCCATGGCGATCCTGCTCTTCCTACTGGTGCCGCACACTGGCCTCCTCTTCCGTGGCGTCCAGGTCCGTTGCACATGGGTTCGAAGCAGCAGCCAGCCCTTTCTACTACGGGTGCCTCTCTCACCGCGTCCGAGCTGCGTTCTTTGGTGGAGCTCAGCAAGCGAGCGGGAGACACTGACGGTGCAAAGAAGTGGCAGGCAGTCCTGGACAAAGTGGAACCTCCTCCTGCGGCTCAAGAGCCCGTTCAAGCCCGAGCGTCCAAGGCACACTCCAAGGTACAGCAGCTTGAGAGAGTCCTGGCCAGGGAGCTCGGCAAGCTCGACAAGGCGAGAGAGCATTTCGAGTCGCAGCAGGAGATGATCAAGAACACCAACGACGATCTGGACAAGGCCGACGCGGACTACAAGCAGATCGTCACAGAATTGGCTGGAGGGATCGTTCCGCGTACACCAAAGACGCCCGACGGCAACACGAAGCTACTCAAGCTGGAAGATATTGTGTCGGGCCAGGCTAAAGCGTTGGATTTCATCGACACGCCCTCGCTCTTCACGATCGACAGCGATGTGTATGTGGTCACCCCCGAGGATCAGCAGATCTTGGATGAGCGCAGGGACACGCTCAACACGCAGTTGCAGGAGGTTGCAGCGCAGCTGTTCTCGGGGGCGATCGACAAGGCCAGTGAACTCAAGAAGGCTCATGCTGAACACCTTCGTAAGCTTCAGCAAAAGCGTCGTCGTGGCGAGCATGGGCTTGTTGAAGCTGGTGCTGGTGCTGACAAACTTTCTGAGCCGTCAGCGGGTACATCGGGGGCGAGCTCTGCATCAGGTTCGGCACCGCCGTGCAGTGATCAGCCTGGTGCTGCTGCTCAACCTCAAGTATCTCCTGGCGAAGTCGCCGTCGGAGGGGCAGATGACGCTGAGCTTGACGAACCTGAGGATGCACGGTCCAGGGCAAAGAAGGCCATGGCAGTCGCAGCCAAGGCGTCTTCTAAGGCTTCCCCCCCTGCCGCGCGTGGCTGACGCCGCTGGCGGGAGGGGGGATTTCCAGGAGCCAGTACATGTCCCAGGATCAGACTTTCACGAAGTGAGGGCTGAGTGCGAGCATAGACTTCGGTTTTCACCTCGGCTCAGCTTGCGCAACTATATCTATCATTTGTTTGCTGATGAGTCCGAAGACTCGAGCATGGGCCACGGGGCCGTTTCCTGTCGGAGTGCTCTGAGTCACGGCGTGTCAGCCTATCCCGCCGATCCCCCCCAGGGTTATAAACCGGCCAGTTCTGGACAGCAGAATTTTTTTGAGGCAGCCAGTGCTGCCAGTTTGTCATCTTCGGCTCTTGAGGCCGTGTCAGGCAACTGCACGGCTTGGAACACGGCCAAATATTGGCTGCTCACCACCTCGGCCCATGTGGTCCTCCTGCAGGAACACCATTTGGGAGCGGATCGGATCTCGGAAGCTCAGCAGTGGGCTCTAAGGAACGGGTGGAAGATGCTTGCGCTGCCAGCTAAGGTTACGTCGACGACGGGGACCTCTGCGGGGGTGGCGGTCATGCGCAGGCATTTCGTCGGCCTCTTCGAGCCCCCTGGAGGTTGTGAGCTGGTCCCGTATCGCGTTATCGGAGCTTTCGTGAATCTTGGAGGGCAGCAGCCCGTTGCGGCGGTCAGCTGCTACCTCCACGACTGCCAGGGTCTCTCGGATAGCAATCAGTTCACTATGTATAAGATTGGCGGATTCGTTTCCTCCACCCTCAGCGGCTATGTTATTGGAGGCGAGTTTAACATGGAACCGCAGGTGTTAGGGGAATCTAAATTTGCTGAAACCCTTGAGGCTCAGCTCGTGACCTCGGGGAGCCCGACGTGCACTTCCACGTCCGAGGCCGGGTCGAAAAACTACGATTATTTTATTGTGTCGAGTGGGTTGTCTAAAGGTGTTCGTTCGGTTGGGGTTGACCGTAGTGCCCCCATGCCCCCTCATGCCCCTGTCACGATCAAGTTCCACTCACAACTGTATGAGCTCAAGGTGTTGGCTTTCAGGAAGCCTCCTCCCTGCCGTCTGTCGTGCCTGTGGGGCCCTGCCCGTGTCCGCCGAGCTGGGGGACTGAGGAAGTGATGGCCGAGTCTGTCCTTTGTGCTGCGCGCGCGGGGGATAAGGACTCGGGGGTCTCGCT